AAGTGGATTTTGTTTGGGGAAGTTTTTAAAAGGTAGGGCGGCAATACCAGGGGAGGGCCAAGCCATGCTGGAAACTCCGGTCCAATATTAATATTCATGGGAGTTTGGGGGGGGGGGGGGGTGGAATGGGTATGTATCATAGGGCCATTGTATGGTAACTTAGGGAGGATATCATACTGATCGTTGCACAGACATGGTGACTATCAAGCATTCACGATGAAACGGTGCCGGCGACTAATTATAGTCTAGTACAAGTAATGGGGGTATGATACGGTATTTTTTGTAGGGTAGTCTAAGGAGGAGGTGGTCAAAGTAGGGTAACAGAACATTACTAATCCTACCGATCCTTGTCCGTCAGTGGCCCAGTTTCGTCGAGAATGCGGTGGTGACTGTAGTCTACTACCGTTACTGTAATTTATCAGAATGGGTTTGAATTTATTGTTAGTGCGACACTCGGTATGATACCGGTTACTACCGATGTGTCTTGGTGGTCTGGTTTGCATTAGAATTGTTCGGGTTTTCTCGCTGGCTAAGGTTGGTGTAGGCGCGCATTGGTTCTGGAGCTGCGAAGTGGTTCCTACCTTAAGGTACCGGTACCGCGCTCTTCCCATAAACCTAGGTTCGAGACCCCACGAGCCTTTCGCCACATTGGTACCGGTACTCCCCCCACAAGAGAGGGACTCAGATAAGTCCCCTGTGAGTAATAATTGCACTTTTTTGCACATTAACCAATCTGAGGCACTCCTGCAGGAACTCTGTTCAATCAGAAGGCTGACTCCGAACTCGAGACTCGTGGCGATCCTTCTTACCCTGCGGCAAGGTGAGTCAGTAGAGAGTCTCAGCCTCGCTCATCGCTCTCACCTCCTCACTATAAAATCCCCCGCACTCGTCTTTACCTTCAACCAAATTTATCATCCTGGTGTGTGTCTTTACAATATTCTTCATACGGGGAAGCCACCAGGGGGAACAAAGTGAACTGAAGTGAAGGGAAGAGAAAAATAGTGTACAAGTTTTAGATATACTACTGCACTGAGCCGACGGAAGCTAGTACTTTTTGTAGTAAAGTTGCGAAGAACAAGAAGACTCCTTCCATCCACGGCTACAAGGAGATGTCGCAACGTCAGCACTACTCGCAGTTGCCGAACCGAGGTGAAGGGGCGAATCCCCCACAAAGTCCGGGGGCATTCACGTCCGGCGGTCAGTGGCGGCCGCAGCCGCAATCGCAGTCGCAGGCTCCAGCACCAGTTGTGTCGAGGGATGCTTACAACCCACTCATGAGCCCACACCCGGGCGGGGGTCCACAGCGGCTTGAGGGCGGTGATACCAACAATGGTAACAACGACAATAACAATTCCTCGTTTAACATTGGGTCTACGCACTGGGCGAATCTACCACCTGTATTCCCGATAGGCGGGAACATACCGTATCCGCAGCGCCCGGCGGGGTGTTGGAGAGGGCAGCCTCAACAAGCTCCTAGCGCCGCACCACCAACCCCACAATCGCAAGCGGGATTCCGAGGATTTCGTTCACCGCCTCCAGCTCCAAGCTCCCCAATTTCAATCCAACCCCCACAGCCGCGGTCTACTTCTCCTCGCCCATTCTCCCAATCCAACATTACCCTCGCAGTCGACGTCAGTGGCTCCACCGCGGGCCGAATTCTCCGGACAGAAGTAGAATTTATGTCCAGCATAATCCAGCAAATCCTCCGGCCGGACCAGCAGAACGCACGCATACTGCCTTGGAACCACCAAGCCGAGGCTCCATGCGCGCCGACGGGCCTCCGCTCTTTAGAGTCCTGCGGGGGCACCAATCCCGTTTCCTTGCTCCTCTCGCGACCACACTTGGCGGCGCTGCGCTCGTCGGGGGTCTGGTTCTTGTTGACGGATGGGGACATTAGTGAATGGGAAGTGCGGCGGTTCTCGACCTGTTTGGCGCAGGAGCGGATGCACGGGGTCCCTGTTGTCGTTGTGGTTTTCGGGAGCACGGATGGGTCAATGCCCGCGCAGTGTAACATTTCCGTTGGCTTGTCACCATTCGCAGCGGTGCCGCATTCGGCTTTGTTATACCAGGATGTGCAGCTCCATGGCCGCTGCTACGTGCTTGCTGCGAAGGGGTGTTTTGAAGGACTTAGCACTGCTGGTGGTGAGGCGGTGGTTCTTGGCGATTATACTACTTGGTCGGACCTGCCTACCATTCACCCCGGCACCGCGTTCCGGGACTTGGTCATACCCCCGCCATTGGAGTTGTCATCGGAGGAAATTGCGTTGTCGGATGGTCTCAGGGTTAATTTTAGCACACTTTTTGATACGGACCTTAGTGATGCGCAGGTTACGGAGTTGTTGGGGAACCAGAATCATTTGCAGAGCATCCTTTTGAATGCGCAAGCTCAGGGGCAGAGCGGGAGTGCGAGGAGTTGGTTGCAAAGGAATCAGACTCCCGCGTTTGGGTCCCCCCCACCGGCCGCGGGCGGGATGACAGATGGGCAGGCAGCGCAGTCGGTGCAACAGCTTACACAAGCGTTGCGGGGGACAAGTGTCGGCGGGGGCAGCGGTGGGTCTGGGGCCAATGTTGATGTGCTAAGGGCACAGCTTCGTGAGGCTCATAGGAGAAATAGCTCACAATACCAACAACAGCCACAGCGACGGCAGCAACAATTCCAACCACAACAACAGCAACAGCAGCCCTATATCCCTCCTTCTGCCGTGAGGAGTTCAAGAGACGCCACAATTGAAGCTGCTCTGGAATCTCTGACCCGCAGTACACGCAGCGGTTTCAGCAGCTCAACGTTGACCTCCGCATCCCCAATTCCATCCACACCGGGACCCTCTAGCGTCTATTTACCTGCCCTACTACCTCCCCGCCAACCCACTCCACCAGCAGCACTGGATACCACCGGGGCATTCCTAGGCGAATGCAGTCTCTGCTTTGAATCAAATACTCTCCTCTCTATCCTCTTCAAACGCCCGACTACCCAGGCTCCATCCCCTCCGCAACCCCTCCTCTTCCCCCTCGCTCTCGGCTCCGCCCCACATAACGACGTAGTATCAAGCTGGATGTGTTGCTACGACTGCAGCACCCTACTCGTTGCGCAGCGTGAGACCCCGCTCCGAGAACCCGCCACCGCCACTCTCCCGCTCGCCTCCTGGACCCGCAATTCCGCACTCTGGCGCAGTGTCTTGCACTCAGCCCTCAGTGCGCCAAACACCCTCCCCTCCCCCCTTCTCCCAGTCCTGTTCCTAGCTGTGCTAGAAAACTGCCTGGAAAAGACCTGGTCGGCGCAAGATGGTAGCGAGGAGAACCGCCAGCGCCGCGCGGCCCTAATATTCGCGCGGGACATTGTCCTGAGAGAAGTCAAAGTCGCCGGCGATGAGCACAAGGGACCCATAGGCGCATGGGTAACAGACGTCCTCCTACGCCCGAAGAAGGGCGAAGACAGTCTCGCGTGGAAGTACCCGATGGAGGGCTTCGTCCTGATGACGAAGCTCGCGCGCACGCACGATAAGACTCTTAGCCAACAGGAGATTACTAAGGTTGTTTGGAGGAAGATTCTCCATACTGCTGCCTCGCGCTACGCGACTGCGGTCAATCGCGGTGATGGGACGGAGGAGGTGAGGAAGGGGCGGATACGGAAGTACTTGCTTGAAGGGATCTCGCTCGCGAAGGGTGGGGAGGAGGGCTGGATGGACGGATTGCGGAAGTTAGGCTTTTTGGGCTCGGGGGATTTACTCGCGCTGGCGATGATCCCCGGGGAGGTGCGGTGGATTGAGAGTGTTGCTGGAGAAGCTATGGCCAAGTGGATTGGATGGCTCGGTGAGCTGCGTGGTGTTATGGGCGGCGGCGCTAAGGAGTGTATTGCAGAGATTAGGAGGCGCTGGGGGAGGGAGGTAGAGGAGGTAGTTAATGGGATAGATTGGGAGGGGGAGATACTTTGATTGGGGGAATTGGAATTGGTTAAGTGATTTGTTGCTATGATTTTTATATGATTTTTATTTATTTCCATTTTCGATTGAGTTTTTGTTGATGCGGAAGTTAAGTATCTTCATGAGACTGTTTTCCCGATTTGTTTCTTCATTTACTTTTCTTCTTTCATCCCCCATATATACTACATTTCTGCTGCATCTCTACCAGAATACACAGGCGATTGGGGGATTTGGCGATATATGCAATGTCATGTACTTAATCACAAACACCCGTAGTTACTATCACTACCGCTATGACTCTACAAATTTGTTAGGTCTTACCTATGGCGAAGCACCTGCTCCAAGACCACGCCAGTAGTCACCATCACGCGTTCACCGCCAAGTGATACGGCAGACAGTGAAGGAATAGCTTCCGATAGAGAAGCCAAGCTCAAGCTAAACACCTAGCAGGGACACATGATTGTTAATGATACCGGTATGTATGATACCTCATCTTTGGTAAGATACCTAACTCCCGGAACCGCACAATCCCATTTACGCTATGATGGAAATAGCTCTGAGCCATATTGGTATATAGCTCGTCAATTATTTCAGGCGCAAAGGGTGAGATATTCTCAACGATAGACTGACCTATCCACCCGTTTTTTACTTGTGTCGTCGCACTGCTCGCTCCTCCCTGGTTGCCCGTTGCTCTGGGGATCTTGTGAGTCACAGAGACCAAAGTGACCATCTTCCCAGAGGTCCAAACTGCTCTCTCATTATAGAGCAAGACCTCAAAGTTGCCGGTTGGGCTGGATCGGGCCCGGAGGTTTAAGTTCGTCCCGGATGGCCCGGCGAACCCAGTATATCCTTCGACCCTTGGCGTTCCGAAGGAATTATCTTAGTGACAATGATTGAGAAAAACTTGAGCCGAGGCTTAGAGGGCATTATCAATCCAGGAGGGGGGAGAGGAAAAATCCGCTGATCACCACAAGCGCTCATAGAATATCACTCGTTATTGATCTTTTGACGGTTATAGGTAGGCGGGATTATAGATATAAGGGTAAAACATGCATATCCCACCCAAGGTCTACCAACAGACTCGGCGTTAACTCAGCGTCGGGTTTTCATTGTTTATCTTCCGGTCGGCGTTAGCATATTGGAAACGCTTGAATGAAAAAAAAAAAAAAACTGAACGTATGCGGTGCACAGGGTTCTGGCATGATTTAATATGGTGAGACGGTAATTTGGGACAGGCTGTCGCCAACGATATCACTAGTCGGCCGGGTTGGCGATTACCATACCGGTAATGCAAAAATTAAGTGGTCATTTGAAAAGGATTTGACCTTGGGGGGGGGGGAATCCGTGGACACGACTGCTGGGGAAAGGTTGTGACAACCCCGCTTGCACTTTCCTTGCTCCTGCTAACAGCAAAAGGACTATATTATTCAAGGCCCATGGGCTGATCATAGGCTTGTATTTTCCCAGCAGCTTTCCTGGGGAATACGGGCAGCAAAAGAACAGCAAATCGTAGGTCAGCAAGATGCCGATACTGTTTGAATGTGGATAGCCGGTACTTTCTATGCGACCGAAATTTCCCGCGCAGCGGTAGTGGTGGCGGTGGATTCGAGGGGCGGGCGTATAATTACGGATGATCGGGTCGCGGCTCACGAGCTAATTTAATGGTTCCGCTTGGGAACTGAATGGGTGCCAGGGAACTTACGTGGTGGGTGAGGCGAGGAGGGTAGTGATTCGGGAGGGGTTTGGTGTAATGGTTAGTAAATTACTCTTTAGATGCGAATGGGTAAATTGAGTGCTGATTTATGGCAGAGATATAGTAGTATGACTTCACAATAAAAACGCCCAGGGCCGAATATCTTTTTCACAGGAGGTTCGGCAAAGCATACGCTAGGTCCTATTTGTATACCAGTAGGGGGAGAGTGATTTAGATCCATTTTATTTATCCGTCTATCTATCCATATATGTCTAGTACGAGAAAACAAGGAGGAAATGGGTACATAGGGAAACGAGAAGTTTATGGCAAGGGATCTATTCGACTGCGGAGTGATAATGAGGGTAAATGATGCAAGTTACTAGATGAAATAGTGCGCCTGCTGCTGTACGCTAAATACAATGAATAGACATTCGCGATCCTACATTCACAAATGTTAACAAATATCCTGAAATTTCAGTGGGGGTAACTTATATGTTCACTTACAAGTGGAATTCCCGCTAACAATAAGTAGCGGGGACTTTAAGCTCGCTTTATGGGACTGGCGGAGGCGACAGGGAAGGGAAACGAGAGAGGATGGTGGTGTCCACAATAGCGCAGGGTAGGCTCCCTGATATTGAGTAAGGCTGTCACCGGAAAAGAGGAAACTCGATGTAATTTGTGGTCAATTAATTGAGTATCCTGTTCTTCTACTTCGTCTTGGTTCTCTCACGGCTGGTGGAGCTGTTGCTCAGCCGCGCTTTTGGTAGACTCCCGGGCTTGTAGTAACTTCACTACTCCTTCATGTCCCTTGCTAGCAGCATGAGAGAGTGGTGTCCGACCATCCCCATCGGGGCGATTGAGGTCGACATTTTCATGTTCCAACAGTAGTTTGACCACACCTCCATGTCCCTTCAGGGCAGCATACCCGAGTGGAGTTTGATGGTTGTCATCTGGGCGATTTGGGTCAACATCTTCTCGGCCCAGTAGTAGCTTTACAACCCCTTCATGTCCGTTATAGGCGGCTAACAAGAGTGGTGAATTGTCTTCATCATCTTGCCTGTCAGGGTCGATATCTTCTCTCTCCAGGAGTAGTTTTACAACTCCTTCATGTCCCTCAGCGGCAGCACACCCGAGTGGTGTCCGATCGTTCTTATCTGGGCGATTGGGATCGACGTCTTTCCGTTCTAGCAATAGCTTGACCACTGCTTCATTTCCCTCAACGGCAGCCCACCGGAGTGGCGTTTGATGAAACTTATCTGGGTGATTTGGGTCGACATCTTCCCGTCCTAGTAGTAGCCTTACCACCCCTTCATGTCCCTTCCCAATAGCACGCCTGAGTGGGGTTCGATCATTCTCATCTGGGCGATTAGGGTCGACATTTTCCCGCTCGAGTAGTATTTTTACCACTGGTTCATGCCCATTCTCCGCTGCCCATGAGAGTGGTGTACCACCTGTGCGATCTTGTTGGTTGATCTTTGAACCTGCGGAATTTATGAGAGCAGTCACAAGTTCAGCAATCCCGAAGAATGATGCGCAGTGTAGTCCGGAGAACAGCGGAGTATTGATGCGTTCTATGAGGCTGGAAACCACTACTTGGCTTAGAAGTGATACAGCCGATACATGATTTTCGTACTGGTCCAAGAGTTGCCAAGCAAGGGCCCTCGCATGGTCTGAGAGTTCCCTGTTTGCATGTGTTCCCCAGTACCTCGAGGAGTATTTGAGGAATGGCATGCTTTGGTGGTCTTGGAGAAGCTGGGGTGGGAGGTTCTTGACCCGTTGCGAGTTCAGGTAGGTCAAACAGGCTTCTGCAATTATCGAGTGAGGTTTAATGAAGAGGTCCGGACGAGCGCAAAGATATTCATGGACTGTAAAGTGGATTAATCGCACAGTCGAAGCTTCCTTATCGACTGTGATTAGGCCTTGGCAGCAGCCCAGCAATGTACCTATCGAAGGAACATTTTCGGGATCGAAATCAGTTGTTCCTATCTCCACTGCCAGCGCATGGCACAACTCATCCACCTGGAGCGGCCGTTCCGAATGGCAGATCCATGTGAGAGCGGATATGGCAAGCTTTGCCTTTTCCACATCTTGAGCCATTATTCGCTCCAGTGTCGCACCATATGCATCCCCTAACCCTGCCCCATCTATCACTGACCTCAGTCGCCTTCCTCGTCGAGCAATGGTGGTTTCTCGGAGGATTGCCTCGATATGGAGAGAAGCTAGTAGGAATCTTGATTCAAATATGTTAGCCACTGCCCTGAGGATCTTTGCCATTGCCCTTGTTCCCACATACGTTTCTGAACTAATTTCAGGAATGCACTTGATAATATCGGCCTCCAATTCAGGGCTCATGGTATCCGGGGCGGTGTCGTTCCTGAGTCTTTCGCGGAGATATTTAATGACACCACCTTCCATAGGTTCTATTGATAAGAAAGTTGTTGCTCCATCCAATTTCCTCTCAACCTCACTCCGGACCTGTGGTCGTCCGGTCATGAATACGCGAGTATTTGGCGACCCTCGGATAATATGTCCCAGTGATTCGAGAACTACCATCCGATGCTCTGGTAGGCATTCATCGAGAGCGTCTACACATATGAATGTGCGCTTTGTGGCTGCGATTGTCTGGAACATCTTCAAGATTCCCGAAACTTGGAGTTCTCTACCCCCAATTGCCTTTCTCTGCTTTCGGAAACTCCGGACTACCGTTTCTGGAATTTCTTCCAATCCGCTAACTAGCTGTCTCAGGAGGGAGCCGAGCATATTTATTGGTGACTGCTCATTCCGGGAAGCAAAGTCGAAGTAAAAGCAGGTAACGACAGTTTCTTCCTCCACGATCTCATCGCATAATTTGTCTATGACCAGTGAGCTGAAATCGCAACATATTAGCGATCCCGTCCTTGGTTTCCTGCAACGACACACACTCCCTTACATGATAAAACTCTTCCCCACTCCCGGATTTCCATCGCAGAATAAGGTCGCATGATTAGATCCACCCTCCCTACTACCATTATGCCATCGCCTGAATTCCTGGTTTTCCAGTACCCAGCTCCCTATACTGTCCACGCGCTTGGCTGCGATATCTCGATGCCGTACCCGTGGCTCTAACGGAGATAGCCACGCCAGTATCTTGGAATCATCATTCGAGACAATGCTGTTCCAGGTATTAAAGGAATTATTGATATTGCTGAGTATTTGTGACATTTTCGTTTTCGACTGCTTTGAATCTTTTTGAGAGAAAGGTGTTGATTAACCTGGGGTCTGTGAACGCGACTACTTGAAACGGAGGAAAAGCGGGGTTGATGAGAAAGTCTTGCGCCTAACTTACCACGGTCCAATCGCTAGAACAAAATTCGTTACACAAACTCTCGCTGATTGAGGAGGATTCGCGTGTATTGAACTGTTACTCCACGCCCTTTGTTTGGTACACTTATAATTGGTACGAATTCGAAAAACTGCTACCGATGCTATTTTTCTTCTTCAATATCTGTTCCCGAAGCCATAGAATATTATTCAGAAGTTTTGTGCTACTCTGGCCTGTCATCTTGAAGCTAGTCTTCAAGCATGCTTTTAAAGCCAAGAAATTTAAGATCAT